AGCCTAGGAAATTCATAAAAGAGGCGAAAATCATCAATTTTCGTGGCTTTTTGCAAATATATCGCGACCTTTAGGGCTAGATGAAATATTTTTAGGTGAAAATGCCCCTCGTGAAATTTCTTACAAGGTAGATACTCAGAAGTTAGCCTAGGTGTACCTCTTAGCCTAGAAAATTCATAAAAGGAGGCGAAAATCATCATTTTCGTGTTTTTTTTTGCGGTTTTTTGCAAAAATATCGCGACCGTCAGGGCTAGATGAAATATGTTTAGCTCAAAATGCTCTTCGTGCAATTTCATACGAGATAAGTAACTGAATAGTTGGCGTAAAGTCACCTTTCACCTTCAACTTTCATGTGTGAGGAAATATTCATAGTAAAACAAAGTACCATTTATTCACGTAAAAACAGTATTCTCATATTAAAATATTCACACATTCATTTATACCTCAACGTAATCATTACCCTTATACTTATCCAAATCAATTCGTACTTTTTCGATCAGACTTCTCAATCAAAAGTTGTAGACTAGAAACCAATTTGAAAAAAAATTCAAAGGGCTGTAACTTTTGAACTAGTAGCCCAATCTTGGAACTGTTTGAAATTATGGATTCTACAGGCCACATTCTATAAGAAAAAATTTTTTCCGGGTCGATCTGAGACAATTTTTTTTTCGGGGCTCAAAAAAAGGCAGTGTATAACCTTCCTTTTTTACCAAAAATCGACTACAACAAAATTTCTCGGGAAAACACTTTTTCTTATTAATTTGGGTGCGTAGAATCCAAATCAATTCGTACTTTTTCGATCAGACTTCTCAATCAAAAGTTATAGACTAGATGCAGATTCCACTTCTTCAGGCTCTTCGACGTCCTCTAGTGGTAATGGGTCGTCTGAGATTACCGACTCGTAGTTCTCGTCTTCCGCTTTACCTGATGCATGGGTACCCTGAAGAGACGACGTGGCATTTAGGCACGATGCTCCATGACACTGGACGCAGAGTTCATTACACTTCAGACCTACAACAATAAGAAGCATATTATGTCAAAAAAATGTTTATAATTATGTATACGATTATAATATTCTCTCGTGTGTCCTAAGTGTCCGGTAGAGAAGGTTTACCTGATTTCCTGCAACTGTTTCAGAAAATCAGGTAAACCTTCTCTACCCGACACTTAGGAGTTAGGACACACGAGAGAGACATAATATTTCTTGTTTTAGGTCTGAAGAACGAATTCTGCGTCCAGTGTCATGGAACATCGTGCCTAAATGGGACGTCGTCGTTTCAGGGTGCCCATGCAGGTAAAGCGGAAGGCGAGGAGAACTACGAGTCGGTCATTTCAGACCACCCACTAGCACTAGAGAACGTCGTAGAGCCTGAAGAAGTGGAATCTGCAGAGAATAATGATTACGTTGAGGTATAAATGAATGTGTGAATATTTTTATATGAAAATACTGTTTTTACGTGAATAAATGGTACATAGAAATACTTTGTTTTACAATGAATATTTCCTCACACATGAAAGTTGAAGGTGAAAGGTGACTTTACGCCAACTCTTCAGTTACCTATCTCGTATGAAATTGCACGAAGAGCATTTTCAGTTAAACATATATCATCTAGCCCTGAAGGTCGCGATATATTTGCAAAAAGCCACGAAAATTGATGATTTTCGCCTCATTTATGAATTTCCTAGGCTAAAGAGGTACACCTAGGCTAACTTCTGAGTATCTACCTTGCATAAAATTTCCCGAGAAATATTTTCAGCTAAAAATATTTCATATAGACCTCATAGATCGTGAGATATCAGCCAAAAAGAGCGAAAACACGGTTTTTGGGGGATGGTGGGGTGGCTGGAGCCTTTAGCACAGGGTCTGGAGGGTGGGATTTTTAATATGTTGTTTCTGACACCTAACTGAACATATTCCACCATTTTTTTTTCCACCTCAAAATGTCCAGTTAGATGTCTTTATCGCCTAGACTAATAGTGCTAATAAAATAAGAAAATAACGATAAATATAAATACCTACCTTCTTCTTCTTTATATATCAATTTCTTCTGTACGTGTATTAGTGACTGAACTCCTGCTAAACGACTGGGCAAACTTTTATACAAAAATTATTCTTGTTACTGTAACCCTGTGTTAGAGGTTGCAACCCCCACAAATTGTTAAATGGAGCGATATTACTGTATCACATGAAAAAAATAAACACAATAGGTACCTTTTTTCTATATTTGTTTTATAATAATAATAAATTACACTCTTTCCCTCGTCTAACTCGAGAACGAAAAGAGACAGCGATTTCAAACCTTCGCCGATCGGTTTCTACGAGTTCAAAGATCAGTGCGCTATTGAATATGAGCCGGATTAAAAGTTTGGTTTCCGAATGCGGGCTGAGTAGAAAAAAGTCTCCTACTGAAAATCTTATACCTACTATTCTTCTTCGTATCTTGTTATTAATTTTAGAGACAAGTGTACTGTATATATTCATGTAATCACAGCAGCGCAATTTTTCTGACTTCTGTCAGTTCTTCAAAATGCAGTGGCTTCGTTTTCAAAAAAAATTTCACCCCCTCTTTCATTCCTAACAATCTAATGTCTAAGGGTTGTAAATCAGTGACTGGGTTGGGTATTTTATTCGAGTATGAATAATAATTTTTTCATACTGTCTACTGCACAACGATACCGCTCTACATATTTATTAGGAGAAGTTAAGCTAGATGTACCCAGAATAAAAAGAAGACATGACGTTTACGGTTTACTCATTACATTGAAGTGTATTTTTCACTGTTACTTATTTGAAATTATTAAAAGGGCCCAGAACGAGAGGGATAATAATAAATAAATCTGTAGATACTGATCCCCATGACGTTGAATGGAAACTGGATAAATGCTCCTTCTGTAAGGGATTAATTTGAAGGCAAAACAAAGAAGGAAAATAGGTGGAAGGGAAAGGTGTTGAAGCCTCAATTGTAGCACCTTTTAACGGTTCAAAAATGTATTACCGCGCATGATGTACATGTTTTATACAATTCTACTATTTGGATCTATTTACATAAGTACATACAGTACTAAGTAGACAGTCGTTGAGGTTTTGGTAGCGAACATATGCTATTGTGAGCAGATATAGCGATAATGCCGGCTAATGTAATTCCAACGGCATCCGCAAAACTGGTAGCACCTAACGAAAACTGCTTGTGTTCTTCTGGTGTCTAAAAACAAATCATACATTACAGGGCACTTATTCACATACTTCTAAATACTTCATTCGAAATTTTGTAGAAGGTGTTAACGTATGCTGCTCCCCCTAGCAATCCTTCCCAAAAAGTTAAGGCTAATACGATCCAAAAGCTGGGGATGTAATAAAATATGGCTTCCGTTGTGAAAAAAGCCACATTAATGAGCTGAAACAATTGAACCGCTTAAAACACATCTCATCATTTTTTTCCTGTTTTGCATCATATCCAATTGTCATGATTCTTTAAATTGAATTTGTGACAGTGATCGCCGAATACTGGGAAAATGTTTTCCTATTTAAAAAGTGCTTCTTCTTGTACTTACTTGAAAGACTGACATCAACCAAATTTTCCGAATGTGAAAAATATTAACAGATGATCTGGAAATAAATACGCCAATTTGATAATCAACTTGTAACCATCTATACTGTTCAGCTTTGTTAAGGAAGATGCCTTCGAAATTGATAAGTTCATACTAAAAATGATTAATGCTAAGTAGCTACTTGGTTTTCAAACAAGTACCTACGCACCATTCCTTGATTTATAAAATATTCAAATAAGTAGACTAGTCCAATAGGGATCATGAACTTGAATAACGATGGAAGTATTCGTACTTTTTCTTTAAATGGGAGTTCTTGTAAGGTATTTGTATCTCCTACGGCAATAACCTGCGGCCTAGGCAAAATTATCCAAAATCTGAAAACAGTCAACTTTGAAAAAGGGTAATTGAAGATATCGACTTACGATATTGCCATTGTAACAGGTACTACTAGCATTATGAGTAGGGTGGTTCGGATGCCCAACGCATTCAGTGTGGCATACGATAGCGCTCCAGCTATTCCAGCTCCGCCTGTTCCTGAAGACCAAGTTGAAATGACGTCTCTAAATTCAAGATGAATTCATCCGTGTGCCACATCTAATGCAGCTTCACCTACTTACTTGTCATAGAACGAGCTATATTGCAACAAAGAAGCTTCACCCAGTCCCGAACAAAGCGCCGTAAAAACTACTCCCGTAATGGACATCCATTGGGTTTCACTAAACGCTACCAATATAAATCCCATGGAAGCAACCATCACGCAAATCAGTACTCGTATACTATAATATCGATAGCTTAAATTCATTTAACGATGAGTAATAGAGACTTACTGAATAAAGAAAGGTAAAAAAGGAGCGATAATTTTAATCAATAGAGAAGGTAAGATATCGGCCAATAAAATTGCTCCTGTTGAAATGTAGTTGCAATCTCTATCAGTGTTGCCTCCGTTTAATGTAGATGTAGAGTTGCGCTCTGTCTAAAATATTGAATGTTGATATAGGATCATAATTTGTAATATCTTACCTGCTGGTGCAAGATGTCATTGGCAGCGGAGAGCATGACGACGTATCCATAATTATTGCAAAGTCCCAAAATCCAATACGCCACCAATGATCTCCAGTAGTCTTTCTTATTGGATTGTAAAGCATTTACTTTAACTTGAACCGAAGGTTCCATGGCTAGATTTTGCTTTTGAACTAGCGATAATTCCACTCTGAAATTCAAAATGATTCATTTAGTCACTTTTACAAGACGCAACAGGATTTTATGTCATAGAAGAACAGAAGGATGGTTTAAGAGCCTTAGTGAAATGCAGTTAGGTACTATGAAATTAAAGTAATTGTCAGTATTCTGAGGCAACTCTTCACCCATATTATTAAACTTTGTACAAATCAGGAATGTCAACGTTACCCTTGAATTGTGATCACTCAAGTCCAGTTGTGTAATTCAGAGGATTATGAAGATTGAATTTAAAACAATGTCACAAGGATAACTCTTTAATGATGGATCTTATATCATTCAAACACAATAGCTATGTTTTTATGTGCCTTATACGGGTTGATATCAATATGCACAAACCATTTAGCCTGCCAAAGGAGAGGTAGTGGACATCTAACATTTGTTGAAGTATGTCTAAATTTATACCAAGTGGATATCAAACGTCAACGGTCAACTCTGCGAATAATCAACAAAAGTCGTTCAAACGTCAAATTATATCCAATAGATTTTAAACGGAATCTTCTATGGCAAAATAGTGTTAGGTATGCTTAATGAACGCATACACCATTCTGTCGTTAAATATAGCAATCGTCCACGTGTCAATTAGAAAGACAGATTTTCACATAAAGACTTTGCGACTACATATTCCTATAGCGCGTTCGCACCTCCAGATGCAGTATGGTGCTTATGGACATACAGTACATGCTTGCCAAACGTGTCAATGACAGCACAAGGAGATTATGTTTTGTTTTAATACTTCAATTTAATCATAATGTCAATTTGACATCACTGCGGTCAGAAACAAGGATAGTATTATCGAAGAATGACGCAAACTAGTAAGAGAGGCAATTAGTCCATAAGACCCCATACTGCATCTGGAGATGCGAACGCGCTATAGACATATTCCAATTTAATTTATACTGGGTAGAAGCACATTACAATATAGAAAACGCACATCACAACTAAATAACTTGTAAGAAACACCATAGTCGCACCTATAGAAACCGTAGTTCAATTAAGAAAAAAAAAACTTTATAATAATTGCATTTGGACCACTACAAAAGTTACAACCCCTGCAGTTGAGGATTGCTATGCATGTAAGTGTCAAATTACTAAAAAAAAGACTTAAATTTAAAACGAGAATGAAATTTAATTTTAGAGGGCAGTTTCGGGGTTGCTTATAGAATCATTTAAACATAATCGATCAAAGAAACAAAAAGATTTGGTGCATTGCAAAAGTTACAACTCCCGTAATCGACGATTGCAATGCATGTAAGTGTGAAATTTCTAGAAAATTGCGTAAGTTTAAAACCAGAATGAAATTTACTTTTAGAGAGCAGTTTCGGGGTTGCTTATAGATCATTTAAACATAATCGATCAAAGAAACAAAAATATTTGGTGCATTGCAAAAGTTACAACCCCCGTAATCGACGATGGCTATGCATGTAAGTGTGAACTTTCTAAAAAATTACGTAAGATTAAAACGAGGATGAAATTTACTTTTAGAGGGCAGTTTCGGGGTTGCTTATAGATCATTTACACATAATCGATCAAAGAAACAAAAATATTTGGTGCATTGCAAAAGTTACAACCCCCGTAATCGACGATGGCTATGCATGTAAGTGTGAAATTTCTAGAAAATTACGTAGGTTTAAAACGAGAATGAAATTTACTTTTAGAGGGCAGTTTCGGGGTTGCTTATAGATCATTTAAACATAATCGATCAAAGAAACAAAAATATTTGGTGCATTGCAAAAGTTACAACCCCCGTAATCGACGATGGCTATGCATGTAAGTGTGAAATTTCTAGAAAATTACGTAGGTTTAAAACGAGAATGAAATTTAATTTTAGAGGGCACTTTCGGGGTTGCTTATAGATCATTTAAACATAATCGATCAAAGAAACAAAAATATTTGGTGCATTGCAAAAGTTACAACCCCCGTAATCGACGATTGCTATGCATGTAAGTGTGAAATTTCTAGAAAATTGCGTAAGTTTAAAACCAGAATGAAATTTACTTTTAGAGGGCAGTTTCGGGGTTGCTTATAGATCATTTAAACATAATCGATCAAAGAAACATAAATATTTGGTGCATTGCAAAAGTTACAACCCCCGTAATCGACGATTGCTATGCATGTAGGTGTGAATTTTCTAGAAAATCAGATAAGTTTAAAATGCGAATGAAATTTACTTTTAGAGGGTAGTTTCGGGGTTGCTTATAGATCATTTTAACATAATCGATCAAAGAAACAAAAATATTTGGTGCATTGCAAAAGTTACAACCCCCGTAATCGACGATTGCTATGCATGTAAGGGTGAAATTTCTAGAAAATTACGTAAGATTAAAACCCGGATGAAATTTCATTTTATAGGGCAGTTTCGGGATTGCTTGTAGATCATTTAAACATAATCAATCAAAGAAACAAAAACATTTGGACCACTACAAAAGTAACAACCCCTGCAGTCGAGGATTGCAAGACATGTAATTGTGAAATTTTTAGCAAATTATGTATTCTTAAAACGAGAATGAAATTCATTTCTAGAGGGCAGTTTCACGCCAGAGCATGGGTTGTGACTGTAAACTAATCCAGTCTGAATGTGCTTCCTGGACATGTTTCAAGAATGCATGATTAACTTCGATAACATTATGTACCTAATTGATATTATACGAGTATACTATACTAATCACATAGTACAATATTTCCTATTCAAAAATGTGCTATTGCTAACGTTTTACTCATCCATCCCTGCGTGAGTGTGAGCGTTATTTCAGCATTTAGATAAACCTGTACGCAATAGCATATTTATTTATTTAAACAATAACTCACCACCAGTCTCTGGTCTTTATTTCTGCCGTTACATTGATGGAGATTGGAAAACGACACAATATTGAATGCACCGACACCTCTATGGATAAGTTGAAAGGTTCACTTCATACGAAAACTGGCCAAAACGACACTGGAAACCAAAGATCTAATTATAGTCCTCTATATAAAGCAAAGTACTCGTTGCAGCGAATCCACAGTATAAGCGAATCTATGACCAAGGCCACCTGGTGAAGCTTATTGGAAATTTCTTACCCCCAAACGGGCATGACGGTATGTGTGTCAAATGATTGTGCAATCACAATCTATATCTTAAACTTGAATTACTTATTGTTGTTCTGATTTAGATCGCATAAAGTGAACTGACGTTCGATAATAGAGCACTACGTAGCTATCGGTTTTTATTGTACTAACTTTTTTAGTTTTGAAACCACAAGTAATATTCATGTTCCGTTTAAATTTGATAACAGAGCTCGTATAAATGTCTATTAAACGTAACACCAATGGTGGGTGGTTAACAAACTGGGTCCAATACTCCAATGATAAAGTTACCTTTTCATTATTTTGAAGTTGTAATCAATTTTGTACGAACAGTATCTCCCGAGAGGAAGTTTGCTATACCTATAAATAATTAACCATTTTTTTTATTTTTGAAGAAAATGCAATTCGTTATAAAAAGTCTTACTTGTTCCGAAACTGTAAATCCAATCAACATTTCGATGGTTTTCTTCAAATGTAATTGAAATCCTTGCATTTTAAAGAAATACTAAAAGGTTGCATTTGGAGTACGGATAGTGTGAACCTCATCTCGGGGCATACTGTATATTATGGTGCCCAAATTGAATTGTCTTAATCCTACTGATATTAATCTGAAATTCGTCATTATAATAAAACCGTTTTCATTTCGACGGTTAACCGTAATTACACACATATGTGTAAATGTGATAATTACAGCAGTATGAAATAATAGGCATACATACCTACATTCCTTATTAATAAATCAACGAGCCTTCCGAATTCTCGACAACGGATGGCAGTGATTAATACTTTATTATCGATAAATAAATAGGTACGGGATGAAGAGTTAAAAATAGAAACTTGTCCCTAATTTTTCAGAAACCTCTCAATCCCGGGACGCACAATAAATAATTCGTTTCGAATTCCTATGTCATTACGTAGAAAAAAATTTTTTAAATCCCCGTTTTAGAGCTTCGCAATCGGGCACTGTAAAGAAACGACAACAACGCGCCATTACTTTGACATAAATACGAATACTGATAGCGCTTATCGCGTACGTGGGATTTTAAACAAAACTACAGTGGATATTTTCCTAATTAAGTAAAAGGGGGGGGGGGGGTGTTGCGTAAAAATACTAGTTGCAATATACATTATAATAACGGTATAATAAGTACAACGTCAATGCCCAAATAATGTAGCGATAAAAATGTGTTTTAATCTTTTAATACGGGTTACCCTATATGTTGGGAAATAAGTCTGAGATTAGTTAATTCATTAATTGTACATTGCTCCGTCAAGGTGAGACTTAAAGTCGTAAAGATAAGGGTATTAGAAACTTTCTTTAAAAAAATTCCTCTACATATACTGATTACAGAGACGTGGAACACAAGTAAACGTCTTTGGTGAAATTTCTAACTATATTTCTTTCCGATTTTATCAATTTTTCAAAATCTCTCATTTTTGCCTCTCCGTCTACCCCTTAAAGAATGCAACTCATTGTAGAGAACCGTTTTTCTTTTGATTGTACATAACTAAAATTACCCGCACCCTATTGCAATAAAAGGAACTACAGCACCACCTTGCTCTCAAGTTACCTTGAACGCCGAATTTTTTGGAGCCAGTTACACAACTGAAATGTGGTTTAATTACAAAACGTAAAACCGTGAATGTGGGGCAAATTCAGGGGAAAAAAATTTCAAAGGAAAATACGTACAACGCAATTTAGATCCAAGGAACCCAAATCTGTCAGTGGTGGTATGATCTGTAAGTTAAAATGACTTGTAAAAGAGCATAAGTAGAAGCTTTTTCCCTCAAAAAGGGGAACTATACAAAAAATTTTGAAAACCCAAAAGTACATGTTAAATGATGTAACTGTAACGCAATTTGTTCTCCCCTTACAGTATTTAAATTTATTCTCTTAACTTATTGCTCTTTTTGCAACGTTGGATTCATATGGTCCCGCTAAAACGGGCTCACTTCATTGAAGAGTTGTGTGGTTCTCGATTATAACGTGTTTTCTATTGTTACCTAAAAATACTGGTTGTTAAACGACCTGCCTCGCAATTCTGTATAATGAACATTGCTTGCGGTAATGCATGGGAGGTCTTTACAAGTGAATCAATAATAGAAAAATTAACTATCAGTAATGATGATCAAACAATTAAATATTGTAATGACTGAATTAAACACGAGCACATGTAGGTAAGTAAAAGCTTTATTCAATACAAAAACCAAAAATTATATACCTACATTTATCATTACGATGTAATTTTCATAAGCTGGCGAGTGTCGATGGTATCGTTCGTTTAAAAAATTGAGTCCAACATATATTTGTATTACCCAATTTATTCCACCAATTCACCGTCGACATTTTTGCGTTTATTGGACCCGAAATGTCAAACTTCAATTAAAATTTTGTCAATAGAAGCTATTGAAGTTGATTAAACTAATCTAATGCTTTGATATGGTTCATTTAAATTTTAAAAAGATACATTGGGAAATTGTATGCATGTATTCTCTTAAAAAAGAATCTCTCTGTATGTGGTATGCTTTGTAAATGTTTTATGCGATGGTAGGGCCATAAGAATTTTAAGTGATGGACTTTTACACATTACATTTCATTATTTTGTATTGACTCATGTTTATTAATCATCCGTTCATCTAGCATCTATTCTGTTTTACCAGTGACAACTGCAACTATCGAACTCTTAACTTTTAAGTTTTCAGAAAACTTAAAATATATCTTGTAGAACTACGCCCTAGGAAAGATCCAATATGATAGCACTAACACAATCTTTGTCGGTTGTAGGAAGCTTAGAGAACTTTCATTCATAGTCTAAGGTATTAGGTATAGGAAGATTCGCCCCGTCTTTGATATAAATGCAGATGGTAGCCTGTGCCAAATTGATGAATTTAGAGATGCACAACCAAAAGTAACCAGTGAAATTCATACAAATTTGCCCAAAGAGAAAACATCCGTTCGCTATAATTGCCTAAAACAGCTAATTGGACAGTTAATAAATTTAACTAGAGGTTAGGGTTACACACTGTTTAATATCCATTGGGCTTATAGGGTGCATACTGCATACAATAAACACAAATGCATTTTCAGTACTTTTACGTTTGATCAGGACTATGCGATAACCCGCTGAAGAAAATTTGCTTTCGGGATAGCTTCCCCTAAGGAAACTTGATCCAGAATATATTTAATAGAACAAATTTTCCGAAGACAAATCTTCCGGGGTCGAATGCCGGGGCGGATCTTCCAGTGGCGAATTTTCGCAAGCGAGTTTTCCGGAACAAATTTACCGCACACGAACTATGTCAAATAAAATGAATGGCAACGTCAACACTTTTTGTAGGGGAGAGCCTAGGTGACTCGAAATGTCAAACTGGGCCTAATTTTTAATACTACGAGTCTATTGGGTTTGCATTAATAATCAAAACCATCTCATTAAAATAATAGGTGTCAGTTTGGAGAGAAGTCAAATGGCAACGACACCGTGGATTGTTTAGAAGTATTAAGATCATCATAACATTAATTCAAGTGGGAGATACTCCAGGATCCGCCATATAGCCCAGACGTTTTTGTAGCCATGAAGAATCACTTGAAAGGTCGCCGTTTCATATCGGACACAGGACGAGATCTGTGATTGGATCGCCTCACGCACCCGAGGGAATTCTGGGAGCAAGGCATTCTTGGTTTTGTGCTGCAGTGGAATAATACTCTACAAATTGAGGGGCCTATTAACTTTTAAATGCACCAGTAAGGGAGAGTCGGGTTTCATTTAACTGCGCCTAGTACAACAGCGTTATTTTAAATGAAGAATCGGCTGTTACTTATTTAGGGAAACGGAAGATGGCGAACCATACGATAGAAGTGTTAGCGAAATGTTCCAGAAAAGGAGCCGCGATAGGAATGGGGAATTCAGACAAATGGTCCGGCCAAACATTCCGTTCTGTGCGTAAAGGAAATTTATTTTTTCATTACATTAGGTATACATACTTACAGTGTAATACGGCTGCGTGCAAAATTTTGCAGTTGTGGGTACCCAACGGCCAACCACCAACAAAATTGTAGACATCGATGTTTTGGAGTTGATACTCATTCTAAGTAGACAGTTTGAAGAAGCTAGGAGAGATATCAAATGAATTTTTACAGTCTTCCCTAGATCATTATTAGTAGAAGATATGGATTCAGGATTTATTTGATGCGTTCTTTAATATAAGAGCAGTACATAGATAGGATTTAGGAGTTACTGAATGTTGACATTTTGGTAGGTACTTTTTTCAATAAAATAGTAGACCACTGTTTTTGTATTACTAGGTACTCATTACCATTGTTCTCACGCTACACCTACTACAATCTATGAGGTAACGGTACGCGAAAGTGGCACCAAATAATACTCGTGTCTATTAAAATAATATGTGCAAGAACGTTTACTTTTTCAAAAATGCGCCACTAAACTAAACTGATCAAAACCTTTATTCAATGTCGGGGAAGTCCGAACAGCTTGTTTATTAAAACACGAAGCTTGCGTTTTTCAACAAAACATTCAAGGTATTTTGTGGTATCTACCCGCTGATTGTATGGGTATCACTGCGAGAATCGTTTAAAATCAAGAAAAAAACATTGGGTTTGTCAACTGGCATAAAACAATTTATACTCCATTAGAGTAACCGTTGACCCCAAAATGCAAATAAAGTTTTTAGCTGGCTTTCGCTCGATAAGTGAAAGTACTTACCAAGGCAAAAATATAAAGAAAATACACCCATCAGTAATTAAACTCAACGCTTCACGACAAAAAGGTACCTACATAGCTATTTTAAAGTAACCATATTGAATATTAGTATCTGGTAGGTATTACCATTGAATAATACATTGAATACAGATTTATTATTCAATGGTATTACGTAAAGGTGTAATATTCATTTAATAATACTTACTATTTAATAATCACCTCTGTAACTACAGGTGCGCACAAACAGCGAACAAAAACGTTTTATTCACTTGCGTTTGAGGCTACTGTCAATATCTCCTTGAAATCGAGATATCTCTAAACGCCAATGTACTAATAAAATGGTTAGAGTAACTTTAATTCTCGGCATTTCGTTTAATTAAACCATGCCACTATAAACTAATTACTAATTTTTGTTTACATTTGTGCGACCGATCAAAGTCGAGCAGCAGTCGAACATTTCCTACCAATGTAAACGTCTACCACAGGTGACGTTTGTATTTACCTGTATAATTCAAGGTATTCATGTATGAGCAATCCAAACGTGTATAATTCCCCCAATTGAAGAACTTATACTATGTACATGCGGAAAAACAAATTTCGTGGAATGCTAATTGTAGAGGATACACACCTATGGAAAACTTCAAAAAGATCATGGAAAAATTAATAGCACTATTGTTGTGAAAATGCTTCTACATCAGTGTGAAACATGGTCACTATAGTGCCGTTGTCAAGAACCGTTCTCTTACCTACTTGCCCCTTAAAAATCAATTTGGACTACTCCCGCGAAAGGGTTTTTTATTTCTCTGCGAAAATGGAATTTACACTTTACACAGGGAGTCCTTGGAATATCCCCCTTTATCTGGGAGTAAGTATCATATATATGGCAATCCCAGGGGGTGGCCCTATATAGAACGTGGTCTTGTCCTTTCAACTATGTTTAATTGTTTGAATGGTTCCTTACCAAAATACAAAATGTAAATCTACCCGATTCAACATACTACCTAGAAATTACACTTAGGCTCTGTAAACAAAATCAAACAAGAAAACAAAATGTTTAACGTACCAGAAAAGCTACAACCCTCACAATAGCCAGAGTATTATGTAAAATCTGATTTTATTAAACAGAATTGTAAGTTTTTATGTGCACTTTAAGGGTGGCTTGTAGACCTTGTAAACATAATCAAACAAGGAAACAAAAATATTTAAAGTAGTAAGTAAAAGTAAGTTTTTATAAAAAAAATTATAATTTTTGAAACGAGCAGGGGATATACTGTTATGTGCATGCTTGAGGAACCTGT